GTCACCTCAGGAGAAAGCGCCGAATATACCCAGCCAAACATCGATGTTCAGATGTGTCCGTGACACACGCTTGCCATCCTGAATATCTCGCTAGCAAAGCTATCGTTTCGGAGATATTCGCTCGCGATTATTTACTGTCATTGCGCTGCAGCGAGGGATTAAATGTCACCCAACTGGAGAGTAACGGAAGCGAGATTTTTGGTGCATTTGCTAGCGAGATGTTTGTTGTTTAACGCAGTCACCTCGGGAGAAAGCGCCGAATATACCTAGCCTGTGAATTTCTATTTTTTGATCTCATTAAAACTCATGAATTGAGGAATGGATGGATGGTATGAATATCTGGCAATGTTGTTAAATACTAGGATCAAGGGTTCCCAAACATTTTGAAGCCGTAACATGCTCTTTTGGGTGAGGTTTTCACTTGTTATTTCCTACTACTTTGCCTTTCTTTCCTATTTATATCCTCCTCTTTCTGCAATTATACCATTTGCAACTTTTTTGCACTATTTCTGCAAAAAAGTTTCTCATCAATGACTGCCATCAAAACAAAAATGAGAAATTGTCTTGAACTTGAAAATGATTTGTGTGTTTCAAATATAGAACCCAGATTTGAGGGGGAAGCTTATGAAAACAAGAACATGTTTCAACCAAACTTTTTGTTGTGAATACAAAATATATGTTAATATGACTTTTTGTTTTATTTTGTAAAACCTCTTGGAACCCTGAAGGTTGTCACCCACACTTTGGGAACTGCAGTACTAGACCAAGAAATAAACTTGGTCTACTACTGCAGTTTCCAAAATATATAAATGGCATTAGCATTTTCATCATTGAAACACAAGTTTACTTTTACAATATAATGTTTTGTTCCATATTTTGCCATTTCATAATTCAAAACAGACAATTAGAAATGTGTTTTGGTGTACCCTTGATGACAGTGCAAGTGTGGTGACTTTCTATACTTTCAGATAAAAGATTGTATTAAAATAATTAATAATAATACATACTCTATAAATTGCTTCTGGGAATCAGTAATTTGATGAATCAATGAAAATAAAACATCTGAAAAGATATATTACTAGTAATATTTATCATATAAAAAATCAAAGATAAATAATAAAAATTTACCTTACTCATTGTCTTTCTCCAGAAAATTAAAAAATGATGGATTAATCAACTGGTCAGATTGTGTTAAATTTTTCATCTTGATCAACTTTAGTAATGTTTCAGAAGATTCAAATGAGCATGTAGTTCCTTTAAGAATTTTTCAAAGATTAATAATAAAAATATTTGAAAAAATTCAAGAATACAGCTTTATATATAAAAATTTTCAACAAAGTGATATTCATTAAAATTTTTTTATGTACAAAATTATTTAATCACTAATTANTACAGTGCAAGTGTGGTGGCACTGTATACTTTCAGAGCAAATATTGTGTATTAAAATAATTGTAAATAACACATACTCTATATATTGCTTCTGGGGAATCAGTAATTTGATGAATCAATGAAAATAACTTAAAACATCTGAAAAGAAACATTATTAATATTTATAATATTCAAAATCAAAGATAAATAATAAAAATTTTACCTTACTCAGTCATTGTCTTTTTTCCTCCAGAATATGTTAACAATGATGGATTAATCAACTGATCAGATTGTGTTAAATTTTTCATCTTCATCAACTTTAGTAGTGTTTCAGAACTTAGAGAACCATTCAAATGAGCATGTAGTTCCTTTAAGAATTTTCAAAGATTAAAAATATTTGGAAAAATTCATGTATACAGCTATAATTATAAAAATTTTCAACTAAGTGATATTCATTAAAATTTCTTTCTCACATATGAAATTATTTAATCACTAATTAATTTAGGAAAGTTTTCATTGTTTCAAATCAAATTGCATTTACAGATTACAATTCAGAATTAACTGATAAATAATATTTAAAATTTATATGCATTTATTATGTGATGTTGCAAAAGATGTCAGATATAAACCAAATGATAGATTTCAATTAAGAAATACTAATTGTTAAAAATACTTTTCAAATTGGGTAAAAAAAATGAATCAGTTGGATAATGCAGTCACAGAGTGATGGCAACTATAAAGACAATAGTAGCAAATGCATTTGACAATTACTACTACTAGAATTAAAATTGTGCCTAAATAATAAAGAATAATTATTATTAAATGATAATTAGAGAAAATTAAGAAGATTTTCACTAATTATCATGTGTAAACCATTAAATTAATTTTATCTACTTATTTTAATAAATTATCTGAAATTTTTAAGTACTCTTTATATTATTCTGATACAGAAAAATTTAATAGTAATTGGTAAAATTGAGGAGTTGTTGTTAATGTTTATAAAAATCTGTATTTTAGTTTCGTAATATTTTAATTTTAAAACCTGAAAAAATTTTCTTATTTTTTGACAGTAAAAAATTTAAATGAACTTATTCTTCCTGATGAAAAGTTATATTTTAATAAATTTTCAGATTATGATGATAATTTAGCTTAGACAAAAAATATTTAGTAAGGTAACAATAACAAGTAACTTTGCAATTTTTTTTCAATGAAGAGCAATAGAATCCCTTATTGTAATTTCTTTAGGACTCACATATATTGATGATGATAACTAACCAATAACATTAAGCTATACAAGAGGTAATTGTCATTTTATTGACACTGGCATTAAAAAAGAATCTTAAAACAATAAAAATCTATATCTAAAATTTACTAATTACAACTACTATTAATTAATAATAATTTCCTATCATACTGTATAATTGAAATGAGAAATTGAAACTACTGTATATATTGAAAACAAATAAAAATTAAAACAATTAAGGTCTAAAGCACTCATTTAGACTGATATCAATAAATCGATGATGATTGTACTGTATGTTGAATTTTATAGTGCAAAATGATGTGTTTTGAGACAAAAATTAATTTTATCAGAATTAGCATGATATGCAATTCTACAGAACAAAATTATTCAAATCAACTGAGATTACAATAAGCAGATTCTACTGTATTAAGATCAGATGTGAGATGTTGCTTAAAATTTAATGCAGTGTTTTTCTGTCTTTTTCTAAACATTTGTGCCCCTTCTTGATATTATTTTTCTTGAAGCACTCTACTTCTTTATCAATGTAGAATTAATATGCTTTTAGTACTTTTAGTAATACACACAAGAAACATTATGCACTGCTGTGATTTAGTGCATTATAATTTATTTATTAGCTCTAGGAAAGTTATAGCTAAATTTTAAGTGTAATTCTTTTTATTTTATTCTGATCTCTATATAAAATTAGAACAAATTTAATATTTCCTTCTTTTTATTAAAATGTGACAAGAATATATGCAATATTGCAAATTCATCAATTTTTCTAGATGGGTGCCTAAACACTATTTTAATGTAAAATAAATAATGCACAATGTTAAATAAACAAAAAATACAAGCACATTATTTTGTATTTTATAATTTTGAAAGCTTTTCAAAATTTAAATAATTTACAATATAATTCTATCCAAGTTTGCAAAAGACTCAAAATTATACTATAAATTTTTATTCAAGTGTATTGCAAAAATAAATACCAATATTACTATTATTATTGTAATTATGATTGAATGAAAATGACTACATTAACATGGTTAATGCATTTGGATCTTGGAATGATAATACATTAAAGCTTATTAAAACAACAATTTAATTATGATTGTCAGGATTTTATATTTATAAAAAGTATTTTCTTAAAACTGTTATTCATCAATAACAACATTTAATATAATCCACAATAGTTTCATATTTAATCACGAGCACAATTTTTATCTACGATATCTATATCGTTTAAAGTGAAACCATAATTGAAATATATTGTTATGAAACTGACACCTAAAACCACGTTTGTAAGAATATTCCCATTCTCTATTCACAATTTTAAAAGCTATATCTTCGTACGGTGGTCCGGCATGAAATCGTAACGTAGCAAAATCTTTATTGTCTTCGCAGGCAGTCAGGGTATATTCGGGAGTCTTCGATTTATTTATCAAATCAGGATAGAATATATTAAATTTATATCCTTGCACAATTTTTGGTGGAGGATTATCCATGTCGTAATGAGTTTGATTGTACTTATTCCATTCAAAACCAGTGTGAACTCTATTGAAGTAACGCGGTTTTCTAGGTCTATATTTATCAGACCAGAGATAAGTCTTTTCGACAGGAGTTTCAACATTAAAAACAGCTTCTTCACCATCCATTCCTTTTCTGGCTTCTCTTTCGAATGCTTTTTCTTCTTTCGTTAATGCGTCTTCAACTTTACCAGTACCCGCGAACTGCCGACGAACAAATTCTAATCGTTTTTCTTCTTCTTCGGCATCCACGATGAAAGTTCCAGGTTCTAATTCGTCAAAAGATAACAGACGAGGACTATATCCGTTAGCAATGTATTCGTCCTCGCATTGTTTAATAGGATCGCATTCTTCTATTTGAGAACTTTGGCTCGTTTCGGCCTCTTCGTTACTTTCATTTGATTCAAACTTTTCACAAGCCGCTTTCTCTTCGGTTACAGAAGTATCTTCGACAACAGCTCGAGACGATGACGACGAGGCAACGACGATATACAAGGAAATAAAGGTCCACTTTCCACTCCCTGTTCCTGTTTTAATTGGAACAACTTCCGTTGTAAATTTTCTTGGTGCCTCTCCCGCAATCTTGCACGAGCCATATAAGCTTTTAACCTGGATAACAACGTTTCCCAATATCCGATATCCACTCCTTCTTCGCCACAGTGAATTTTCTTATTTATCTGATTGTATAAAGCTTGTAACTGAGTGGGCGTCTTGCCTTTAAAAACCGTAACTACGTCGGCACTGACGGTCGCATTAATTCCCTCTCTCCGATCTCCCACGTGTTCCGTCGAAGAACTGTCGACGCGTCTCAATTTATGAAGTTCGTCTTCCACTATAATCTGTAAATCTCTCCAGTAATCCCAATTTTTCCCGTTTTCTAATTCCATATAAACTTTGATGTCTTCTTGTAAATCTTCCAGATCTTGCATATTCAGACCGTTAAGATAAATATACGGTTCGTGCATTTCCACCGTCAGATCCTCCTCTTCCGCACTAATGTATCTCGCCAGGAGATCGATGGGTTTCGCTCTGCCGTCCTGGATGCGAATCTTCGAACGTAGTTTAGCCTGTTGCAGATGAAACCCGTCTTCTTGTTTCTCCCACTCCTTAAACTGGGCAGCTTCCTTTTCTCTCTGAATTCTGGTCAATTCTTCTTCTCTAGATTCTCGTTCCCTTTCCCTTTCTAGCCGCCGCCTTTTCACTTTTTCCAACTCTCTCCTGTTTTCGTCCAGCTTCAGTTTGTTCCTTCTTTCGATTTCTTCCTCTTTTAAGCTTTTAAGTCCCTCTTTTTCCAACTTTTTATTCCAAACAAATGTCTTCAGAAGATTGGCATCGCCAAATGGGTTGTCAGTATTTGTATATCCCATGTATTCTTCATCCCATCCCATTTGCTCTTTCCGTTTTCTTTCTTTCGCTTCTTTCTTCGCTAATCTTCGGAGACGTTTTTGTTCCGGGGTTTCTATTTGTTTTAAGAAGGCTTTTTGCCTCCTTCTCTCTTCTTTCAAGCGCAGTTTGTCAGCTACGTTCGCCATTTTGTCTAATGTGTGCTCATTGCGTAAGCATCAACATCCTATCCACAAATATCAAAAAAATTAATTTAAAATTAGTGAAATACTTTACGTCCCTGCATTAAAATTATTTTAAAAATAAATGAATAAATTACCAATGTTAGGAATAGTGTTATAAAATTGTTCCACTTTGATTCTTAGACCGCGGTGTCTTTACTCCATGCTTTTTCTGATTGGTGCCCTCTGGTGATCGGCCAAATTAATGATTTTTAAGCAAAATCTATTTAAAAGTAATAAAGTCTGGAATTTAATATATTATTGGTTATATTTTAAAAAGTATTAAATAATACATGTCAAAAATATCAAATTAAAATGTTTTAAAAAAAGTAAATAACAAAAAAAATATTATAACATAAAGGCTGACGCTCACCGACCGCTATAATATAGCGTTCTAACCAACGTGCTAGAATTAACAAATATTAAAATGTATTTGTTATTTTGTTAAACTAATAGATTTGACATGGTGTTCCGACAACTTTGATGCTTTTACATACTATAAAATAATTTTTTTTTAAGAATAAGGCGGCCAAATATAAGCAATTCAAAAGTTGTTCATCAGTTGTCCGACGTACATTTCTCAATTCTTTAATACATAAATATTATGCAGTATTTTTACGGATTTCAGACATTCCAAATGCATGAAGCGTATATCATTATATGGGTATAAATTACTTAAATTTAACTACTGTTTAAAAAAAACAGCAATGAGTTACTTAACTTTCCCGGCAACATTTAAAACTGCGTGTGTGACATCATCTGTTACGATATTTTATTATTAAAAACTTTTTATATTTTTAATTATTATAAAATGTCAAAAAGCTTAATTCCTAGGGTATGGGTGGGTTTTGTTATAAATTGTAACGTACGTTGCATGGCCACGCTATATATATCTAGCCCAAGGACAATATACTACAAGGATAGCCAGATCCCTATTCTACAATGTTAGCCAGGAATGGCAAGTTAGTGACGTCAGCACGAGTCCTGATCTCTCTGTTTACATAGAGCAGGGTGTGCACGTGTTTAGTTTTCACTTTTAATATTCGTCCAATTTTGTGATTAACGAAGTGATTTATTTTAATATTTCTGTAATTGTTTTATTTGACTAAGATTTTATAAGGTAAGATGATTTAAATATAAGTCATTAAATATTTAAAGCTATATTTTTATGTTAGGTGAAGAACAAAATGCTGAGTACTAGGTGTGCTGTGTATGGTTGCAATAATAACCTTCTTTTTTCAAATTGGAAGCAACCTGTTTA